CTGCTGAAGTGGATTGAGACAGTGGTGTCTATGCTGTTTTGAAAAAGCAGGCTCTGATGGACTTGTCTTTTCCTCAGTAGTAGACACGAGGGAAACTTTGGCTCCTCAGTTAGGGTCATGCCTGTTTTGGGGGGACAGGGAGGAGAGATATGTGGAAGTTGAACAAGATAGGTCAATCTGTCTTTTCTCAAATAGTTGAAATCCTGATGGCTCTTTCTTTGCCAGACTAATATTACCAGGCAATTAATATTTTCCTAAGCAAGTAATTCTCTAGAGAGATACCAATTTTTATTTAACTAGTGTTTTCTGGTTTTATGTTACTGATATTCTCAGCAATAGAAAACATACTTTACTCATCAAGTGAATTTAAAAGGATATTACATTAATTAAAAGTATATAAAGGTATTTTTTCTTGAATTAATTTCTTCCATGTAAGCTGATTAATAGTCTCCAATCATACTTAAATACAATTTCTCTCAAGTTACTTTTCTCCGTATTATTTTTCTTAAAAAATCATTGTGGCTGGTAATTCCTGTTCAGCAGAGTTATTTCTTGTCTTATAAAAAAGCCTTTCTTTCTGGCTTGACTTCTTCTTTAAAAAGCGTTTGCAAGAATGTGAAACGCTATTTCCTGAATAAATTCTGGCAGTGTTAATTCTTGAATTTTCTCTGAGTAGCTGGTAAAAAAAATCTGACAATTCCTGTGCAGTGGTGTTGCCATGTTGTGCAGACAATAGTGGCGTTTATTTTTGCTTCTGTGTGTGTTCTAAATTCTTATGTTTTCAGATACTTTTCTAATGCGTTTATCTGGGTATAGAACCAGTTAAATTGGAAATGAGTGTAGCTCATCAGTATGTCAGGTACATGTACGTTCAGTTTCTGTTTTTACACAAACATGTACTTACATAAAATGCTGTATATTTTCTGAGTTTAAAAAAGAAGTAAAAACTGTTAGGTGTTTATGAATATATAGATATGGTAGTTGTTGGTATATTAACATATTGATAGATAAAATGTCCATTGCATTTGTTTCTTCAAAAGTAGATGCCTGTAATTTTCTCAAGTTGCTGCTTTGGGTTGTGTTATTGTAGTTGAGCTGAATATACTAATTCTTCCTGAGTTCTCTAACTAAAGTTTGTGGGTTTTTGTGAGCAGCTTCCAATTGAAGATTTGTGCAGCCTAACATCCCAGTCGCTAACTGTTACTCTGACGGCTGCGGTGCCAGAATCCACAGAGGATGTCCTTTTGAAAGGATTTGCCTTACTGGGGATGGAGGATGAAAGAATTGAAACAGCGCAGCAGGTAAGTGATGCTAAATAACCTCGAAGTTGCAGTAATCTTGAGAGAATTCTGTGAGTTTCTGTGTCTTTTGCCTAGCTTTTGGTGGGTTTGTTAAATTTTTTGGGCTGTTTTCAAGATGCATGAGGAAACTTACGGAGAAAAATCATTGAAGTCTTAACTCTTAAGTGACAGATACTTTTCCCATTTTGTATGTGAGAGTAAGGTGGTGTTGCTTACAATATAGAAGAATGTCGTGTCACCTCTCCCCCATTCTAATGGGACAGTTTGTTCTTCTTCAAATAAAATGGGAAAGACTGAATTTCATCTGCTTTTAATTTAGTGGAGGAATAGAATAGAATATTGCAGTTGGAAGGGACCAGGAGGTTATAGTTTGTTTCCTTGATTAATAGTTAAGTTCTGAAACAGCTCTGTTTTTAACAAAAGCTCATCTTCATTTCGTAGATCTGATGTTTGTTTTTAATTGATTGCGTGTGATATCTGTATTGTTCACACCGTAAAATCTCTTCTAGTTCTTCTCCTGGTTTGCTCAGGTACAAACACAGATGGATCAAGATGAAGGTGCCAAGTATAGGTACGTGTTCTTCCTCAGTTCCTTTCACTGTAAGCAATTTAACCCTTGAAGGACTTCACCTTGTCCGTATAATGTTAGCACGCATTCGAATTCAGCTGGCAGGGAATGGGGGAATGTGTTGGAACAGCTGGAGCTTTCCAAGGCAGTATGCCCCACTCCCATCCTGAAGGCTATTGCCCTCATGGCAGAGGATTTAAAAGGGACACAGATTTCCTTCTGAACCGCCCAGGATATTAAGACAGATTAAAATTAGTTTTGGCTTATAGTCAGGATTGTAGACAAAGGCAATCCAAGAGCTTTCATATGCCTTTTCAAGTGCCTCTGCTATTGAAATGGCATCTTTTGAGGGTGCGACTGTGTAAGCAGGTGTGGCTGGCAGCCGTTTCTGCTCTCGCCATTTGGTTCACCAGTGACTATGGCTGTGATTTGGTATCTGCATTTCCTGCATTCCTTGACACTTTGCTCAGCTCCAGTTTTGAGACTGGCATTCTCATCTATTTTTGTCTAACTGACTTTTCCGTCAGGCTCAGAAGAGCTCCTTCCCACTGACTTTCGCAGTTACTCCTCAAGAGTCTGAAGTACAGCTGAATGAATGGCTTAGCCAAATCTGCTGATGGCTTTTATGGAAACTGACTTGTGTTTTGAAACTTTACAAATTTGTCCTTGGCCACAAAGGGATGTTGCTGTGTTCCCCTCTGCTGTTTTTCTCTACTTTTCTTTGGTCTGTCTCTTCTTCTCTTCCTCTGACACTTGAGGATGTGATGTTTCTTAAAAGCAGTGGTTTAGGCATATGCTAAGCCCGTGATCAGATCATTAACAACCTAAAAAGAGTTGCACCTTTGCACTTTGTCAGTTGACATGTTCATAGTAGCGCACAGAGATAGTTATGTGTGCCATGGATGTGGAATGTTTTGTAGCATGGCCAATATGTAATTGTTTGCAGGAGGAAAATAAGTTATTTGCCTGTTGTACACTAAAGGGTTGCACGTGACTAGAGAGAATTGTGATTTTACTCGCTGCTTTGTATGTGATAAAGTAGAGCTCAGAAGTTTTAGGTGACATCCAAGAGTAATTAATTTTAAATGATGTTTTAGTCAAGCTGAATGCGGGACATATATTTAGTGTTCATTTAGAGCTTCTATCTGCATTAAGCCTTAGACAAACTCGGTGACATTAGATACTGGATCTATTTCATTTAAGCTTCTTTCAATCCTCAGGGTAAATTGAATCCTCTGGATAATTTTGGCCACTTTAGGAGGATAAAATTAATTTCTAAATGGAAACTGAAAATTGTTTAGAAGAGACCCAAATTAACACCCCTGTTGGAAGCAAGGCAGGTAGAATTTGGCTACTAGCAGTAGCCTGCAGTAGTCACTCTGTTTGTGCTGTCCATTTAGACAATATTCGCATGCTCTAGAGTAGCTGTGGTCCTTACTGCTGCTTTCTGGGTAGGCTTACTATAAGGAATATCGGAGAAATGGGAGTTACTGCAGTGGCTATTCTGAACCCTATAGCTCTGTTATTTCTGTGGGTCATGAAACATCTGATTATTGTGCACTCTTGCTTGATGCAAAGAGTCTTTTATTCCTAGAGAGGGAAAGGTAGTGGCAGTGCCCCTGCAGGCAGCTGGATTTGCAAATACAGAAAGTGAAATTTTACTTGTTATCTGTTGATTCTCTTTTTCTAGACAGATGAGGGATTACTTGTCTGGCTTTCAGGAGCAGTGTGATGCTATCTTGAATGATGTGAACAGTGCCCTTCAGCACCTGGAGTCCCTGCAAAAACAGTATCTCTTTGTGTCTACGAAGACAGGAACGCTGCATGAGGCCTGTGAACAACTTTTGAAAGAGCAGGTAATCTTTGATGAGAGGATTACTGGAAACTTCTGAGATAGCATAAACGAAAGTTTCTTTTTCTCAGGCTGGGAAAACTTGTGAGCTGTGGTGACAATCCCTCCATTTGCTTTGGACCTCGTTTTTGGTGTATTTCACCTGCAGCTAAGGTGTTAGGCTCTGTGCAGTAAAATGTTCGGTATGTGTTGATATACACTTTAATCAGGAAGGATAGCTAGCTGAGGGGAGCTTTTGTAACTAATGCCTGACAAGTGCAAACTTTATTGAGATTAATAATTCATATCGCTTACAGAAGTGTTTTGAGCTTGTTATTGCAAGAAGAAAGATTTTTTTTTTTTTAAGTTATGAGCTTATTTCCCATGCTTTCTCCTATGATCTGCTCCAGCAGTGATATAACAAACATGTCTTTTTAGCGTGACTGGTTAAGGGAGAACTTTTAAAGGCTCCAATCCTGAAATACAGGATTTCTACAGTTCTCTGTAATACTGATGGCAGCATTGCTCTTTGTGTGCAATGGTATCTGTGGAAGGCTGACAAACCTGTAGAATATGTGTTTTTAAATACACTGTTGAGAGTAACATGTCTTTCTCTGGTAAGAGAGAGCAAGACAGCACTGCAGTATTCTGCCTCTTTTGTTGTACTTATTTGGTTGCAAGTTATCTAGAGCCAGTTAACACTGGTGTGTGCTGAGAGCTGAAAGGGAAGCTGAATAATTTTTTTTATATGTATATTTTTATGTATATATATTTAAACTACTTACTAGGTTGCTGATTTTCTTTTATTTATTGTTTCTTGATAGTCAGAACTTGTTGACCTGGCTGAAAACATCCAGCAGAAACTTTCTTATTTTAATGAGCTGGAAAACATCAATACAGTAAGTATCATTTCACTGTTAATATTCTTAGAAAATGAAAGTGTACCGATTTATTGAACTTTGTCACCAACACTAAGTTACGTGAATTCCTTACAATGATGCTTTGTCTTGTTTTCCAAAGAAATTGAATTCCCCTACACTGTCCGTGAACAGTGAAGGATTCATTCCCATGCTGGCTAAGCTTGATGATTGTATTGCATATATTTCATCGCATGTAAGTAATTCTGTATTGGTTTTAGCTAAATCTTAATAGTTTCAAAACTATGTATTCATACTACTTTTGTGGGGTTTTTTTTTGCTATAAAATGTGCTCTCTGCCAAACACAGTAAGAAAGCAAAGATGACAGTTTATAAACTTAAGAAATTTTTACTCAATATACTTAATATCCTGCTTAATTAAAAAACCCCCTGCTTTTAGTTTGTACAAACTAGCGTTTCTAGCTAGTAAAAAGAGTATTTCAAGTTTTGATGAATTTTCAACTCTCTTATTGTTCGTATTTAAAATGGATTTTTAATTTCTTTCAGCCAAATTTTAAAGACTATCCTGTATATTTGATTAAGTTTAAACAATGCCTTTCTAAAGCTATGCACCTTATCAAGACATACGCTGTGAATACACTACAGAACCTCACAAGCCAGTTAATGAAAAGGGTAAGGTGAATCAGTAAGTGGTAACTCAAGTTGTACTGAAATGTATATTGTGACACTATACATTTTTCTTCTCTTTTTTTATGTTTTGGAGGGTGGGAGGTGTCAGCAGTTTTGTGTGAAAGTAGGTCAGTCCTATACTACAGTGTTTGTGTAGATTGGCCAAGTTTCAGCCAAATGTGATCGAGACCTAGTGATCCAAGAGATTTAAAAATAGTAATAATTAAAAAAATCATGGAAATCGAAGAAGGTGAAGTAGGTGAGTTGAGGTAGGTGAACAGCAACCTCAGTGAAGGCCGGGGATGGATAAACAACTGCATTAGAGAGGCAGCAACTGGCTGGCCAGAGCACCTGCTTTCCTGAACCAGTTTGTGCTGTGTAGCTCTCGATCAGCTGCAGTGCATACTGCTGTCTGAGTTGCCAAATGGGGAGGGCACACAAGAAAAAGTATGTGTACTATGAGTGTCTGTTTTGGAGACGGATCGTTAGAGACAGAGAGGGAGGTTGCAGGGAATACTTGAAGCAAGTATACAGGAGCTGGGTGTCATAGGATGAAAACTGTTACAGCACAATGACTCTGACTTCGTGACGTGACTCTTTCAGTATTATATTCCAGTAAGTATTTTTGGGTCCTCTTGGTCATCTAAATGTTTCCTTTTGATAAGTCTGCAGTGCTTTGTGCAGCCGCAGAGAATAACTGTGACAGATTCCTGCTAGTTTTGGCAGTATCTTTTTGTTTGTTATCAAATGTAGACAGTGATGTTGGAGAGTCACAGGGAAGAGTTAGATGCTTTACTCACACTCACTCCAGTGGGATTTAGGCATAAAGGTGAGTAGGGAGGATTTTTGGTCTCATTAAAATGTTAGTCTCATACTGCAATATTTTGGCAGAGGAGAAAGGAGAGGGGCACGTCTCTTTCTACCCACTTTCTTTCTTTCTCCAATTAATTCTTTTATGCCTTGTGCTCAGTCCTGTTATAGGCAAACTTGTTGTCATGAGGGATAACCAGTGAAATTGAAAGATGCTAGAATTGAGAACTGGCAGAGCTAAAAGAAGGAGATTCTAAACAATGTTCATGGAAATTTGCTAAAGGATACTCTTAGAGTGAAGATCTTGATTAAACATGAAACTTTTTTCATGTTTGGTACAAAACTAGTTTTTATTTTTTAAAAAAAGTATTGTGCTTGGTGTGATGCCAATGGGTTATCGTGATGGAGCTGAATTCAAGCAGAATTGAACATCTCTGATAACAAGTGTGTCTACAGAAAGAAGTGAAACCTTCTTTCTGGATTTGAATTGCTGCTTAGCAGTTTTAAATCCGGAAGGAGACCTCTTTTAGGAGTCAGATGACCTCCTCCTTCCTATCTACATGAGGGTTTTGTTGATGTTTTGCGTATTTCTCTGAAACATCTAGTGTCCGCTTCTGCTAGAAACGCAGTACTGGACCACTGGTCTTCAGTTGTGATCAAGTGTTGAGATTTCCTGTTGCAACACAAGAAGAGGTCTTGTCAGGACTGGAAGGGAACTGATGAGATCTTGATGTTCTTTGTTACTCCTCACATGTGAATGTTTCGGGATGTTGATCTGTGTGTGTAGAAGGATGATCAGGTTGCTGACAGGGATGAAAGTAGGAGATGGGGAAGGTGGAATAGTTTTCCTCTCCCCAGCATGTTTCAAGGGAAGGCCATCCACTTCTCTCTCTGTCATCAGTAGGGATAAGGGGAAGAAAGCCTGGTGCCTGAATTTGATCTCACTCTGCTTCATTAGTGCTAGAATTTGTCTAAGTTCAAGCTGTCTGCCTGGCTAAGCTGGGGAGCTGTAGGGGAATTGCCTCAAAACTTGATGTTCCAGTTGAAGCTTGAATGCAAGCTGAAACTTAGGGTCTCCGCCCTGGGACTCACAGGTAAAAGGGAATTTTGTTCCATTTTAGTACTACGGATTAAGGAGCAACAATCAGTACTACTGTGGCAGGTCCAGAGAAAATTGCTATCTCTTCAGCAATTATGGCATTCTGCATTAAATGTTACTTTTGCTGTAAAGACTATTGGTTGAAACTTTTGGTTTGGGTTTTGTTCTCCCATCTGGCTTTATCCAAGCATGTCTTTCTGAGTGGAAAGTGGCAAAGAACTGTTCTACTGGCAGTATAAGCATAAAGAACCAATATGCTGTTTTAGAGCCCAATTATCTCAGCCATTAAATACTAGAAACCAAATATAGTATTTTCCTTTTTAACCAATTACTCATCTCTTCTTTCAGGATCCTTCAGCTGTGCCAAATTCTGACAATGCCTTCACACTGTTTTATGTAAAATTCAGAGCAGCTGCTCCCAAAGTCAGGGTAAGTAGGCTGGTAACTAACCGTTACAAAGGAAGCTATGAAAACGGGATTTGAATTTTAGTAGTGTGAATGCAAAGATTGCATATTGTGCAAGTGTGAATATCCAAAGATTGCATATTCTGTCCATGGAAAACTACTGCAAACTATTTTCCAATTATTAGAAAAAAATCATTTATTGATAATACTTTTTTCTTTTTATTGAGTAGACTCTTATTGAACAAGTAGAGCAAAGATCTGAAAAAATGCCAGAGTGAGTATGTCTACATAATTTATTTTCAACAATTTTAAGTTTTGAGAATATTTACTTTTGTTTAAATCCTGTTTGACACATTATTCCTTTAAAGGAAAGTTTTAAAAATTGAAATTACATAGACCTAAAAGAACGTAGTTTTACGTTTTTACGTAAAAAGAGTTTTACGTTTACCAGAAAATGAGCTTCAGGATGCAGTTACTGTTTTAATTTCTTGGCTAGGTATCAACAAGTTCTGAATGAAATCCATCAATGTTACCTTGACCAGAGGGAGCTTTTGCTTGGTCCAAGTATTGCTAGCACTGTTACAGAATTAACCAGTCAGAACAACAGAGATCATTGTGCTCTGGTAGGTGAAGTAATCATGCCTAGTGGGGTGTTTGTTGTGTTTTAATCCCTCCTCCCCCAAGTAAAACGTACTTATTTAATTCAGCTGTTTACTTACAGAATCGTCACTTTTGTTTGTGGGTTTTGAATTGTCAGAATATTACTAATATTTTCAAGTAATGCATGTTTTCTGGAAGATTATTCTGTAAAAACTCTGCTCTGCTTCAAACTTCACAGAGGGATATTTGCGAAAACATAAAATGTGGTTACTTAAATTTCGTCGGAAACAAAAAGGGACAGAAGTTGCACAATGAGCTTTTATTTGACTAGTAACGTCTTTTCAGTCCTTAGTTTTATAGTTGATCTCAAGACTTTTGAATTTCACAAGGCTTTGATTTAATCATAGCTATAGTAATAGTAGTAATAATAATACAATATATAATATAATAGTATCTATAATACCTCCTGTGGTACTGATTGCAAGGAAATTAATTTAATAATCAAGTATTTGTATTTCTTTGAATACAGGTACGAAGTGGTTGTGCCTTTATGGTCCATGTATGTCAGGATGAGCACCAGCTTTACAATGAGTTTTTCACAAAACCAACACCAAAACTGGAGTAGGTGGTACATGCCGGTTTTGTTTTACTGCATGTTGTATTTACTATGCTGTGATATAGCAGACAATGTTATAGGGCAAATAGGATTGTATTGACGTGGTTTGGTAAGAACCAGCAAGAAGAAAAACCTTCACCCTATCTGTAAGAATTTGATGTTCTTTTGTTTTCTTTTTTCTTCAGGCAAAGCTGATAGTTTATATTCTCCATAAATAATCTGAGTAATGTAAAGGCTCTGTAGGTGGTCTGAAAGCGATAAAGACACACAGTTATTTTGGAAATAGCCGTAGAAGTTCGCAGCACTACAGATCTCAGCTGTTTTTGTACTGCCTCTATGCCAACGGTTTGCACAGTCAGTTGCAGAAGTGCTTTTCATTTACTTCAGTGTAAAATTAAGCTGATGAGCTCCAGCTGTTTTTCATCAAGGATTTAGAGTTAGTGAGCTGCCCTTACTATCAAGGAATATTTGCATGTGCCTGTATGTGGGCTGAATGGAAGGCAGGGTGGCGGACACCTGACAAGAAACAGTATCTGTATCTGCTCTGCCTAGATCTAGAAGAGGGTGTTTGTCTTCACATGGTAATTGCATTATAAAAATATTGTAAGTTTTTTACAATAGACCTGTAATATTAGAGCAATTGAGTATATTATACCCCTTCTCTGTTTTGCTGGTATGTTTTAATAATGATATTTAATTTTGAAATTTGGGCAGGTCATGTTCCCTTGCTACGAAGTTCATAGATAAAGTGTATTGTTATTAATATAACTGAGACACTGGTTTTAAGTGTTGTATTAACTTAAAATCAAGTGCAGCTCTAATTGATTAAGAGTAACTTGGAAAAAATACTGTCCACTACCCTCCCGATGCTCTGAAGCTAAAGGAAAACCATAAATGCATAAAGCCTCACTAAAAATAAGCTGCAGTGCCAGAGTACTTAGCAGTCTTTTCTGAGAGATTGAGATCTCGTGTGGGACATGCTCAGGATATGAGGTGACTTAACTAAATTGGCTTGAGATCCAATTTGGCTATCTCAGTGCAAATCCTGAAATAAACAGCCGTAATTGAAATCAGTGTAAAATGTTGTTCAGACAGAACTTTCATCACTATTGCTCTTCACACCAAGAATGAGAATAGACTTCTGATTATTTTTGAATCTTGATGGAAAGTAGTTGCCGCCTTTTGTAAGAACTTGCTTCCCTTTTTTGCCTGCATTTAAATAAAATGCTTTCAGGGAAATGTTTCAAGTAGTAACTACTTCGTTAGTTTTTTCTTAGGTGCATAATAAATAGCCTCATTTTTTTCTGAACTGGTGAGGTGCTCTGAAGACATAATAACTAGGTGTCTATGTACAGATAAAAGAGTTTACCAAAAATCTAGCAAAGAGTAGAGATCTGAGGTTGAGTGTTGTATTTAATAATAAGGCTGTTGATACTTTCTCCTTTATTTCTGCTTTTAGCATGGAGAGTTAATGTTTTTTAAGTTGTTTGTAAAGCTATAGAATGCAACAGAAGAGAGACAATGTTTCTTTTGTGAGCGTTTTTTGTCCACATTCTGAAAGGAACTGGAGTGTCCCTGTCCTGTTGTCAGACATTCTTTGTAAATTAGAAAAAAAAAACACCATAGTGTAATAAACTCAACAACTGTACCACACTGTCAATACTTAAATATTCTTAGTGTTTGTATTTCCAAGTCTAACTGAGGAATTCCTTGAATTTTCAGCTACTGACAACAGCATTATTAGCTAATCTGTGATTAGTGAAGGGAGCATTGAGAATGGCAAAAATGTCTAGAATGAATGCTACTGGTGTCTTAACCAAGATATGCATCACTTTGAACAGAAAGAAAAAAAAAATAAATTGAAGTGGGATTTGTGGTGTTTCATATCGCATTGATATTGTAACTTTAGTTAGATTGGAAAGCGTGCCCTGCAGTGTTGGAAGTTGTTACAGAAAAGGTTACCAAGCTTCTCCTGTGTCCCTCTTTGTGTGCTCCTGGTTCTAATAAACTATTGAGTACTTGGAATCAGATGAGCCTTTTCTCAAGGGGAAATTAGGGGTGCGATTCTGAGCTCAGCAGAAGCATTTCTTTACACAGAAGCCAGGTAAACCAGTTTGCAGTATCTTCCTTTTGTGACAGGTTGAGTTGGTTGTTTGTTTTGGTTTTTTTTTTTTTTAAATTTTAAAATGAATTAAAAACTGTACCACCTTTTTAAGCAGTTTATATCCTACATCTCTTAAAAGTCTTTGTAGGAAATCAGGGGTTCGTGTTGTAAACAGTCCTTTCTTAAGTCTTCTATGATACTGTGTTGCATTGTTTTCTCACCCTCCTTTTTCAAATCTTTGCCATAAAATAATCTGTGTTTGTGATAAAATTTTTGGTATTGCGGGATCCTGAAAGCGTTTTACTTTGTTTTCTTTTTTTCTTTGTAGTGAACTCTTGGAGAAGTTGTGTCTTTCATTGTATGATGTCCTGAGGCCAATGATCATCCATGTCATTCACTTAGAGACACTTTCTGAACTCTGTGGGATTCTTAAAAATGAGATGCTTGAAGATCATGTACAGAACAATGGTAACTCATAGATGGAACCCGATTGTTTTTAACTGTCTTCTTAACTGATAATATTATTAAATTGCGTAGGCAAAAAAATCCCTAGATATTTTTTCTTTCTAATTGATCTTAAGCATGTCAAAGATGAGGTAAGGTAATTTTAAATAAATTATGTTTTTTCATTTATAACAGAAAGATCTGTATTTATAAGTCTGTGTATATCTTAATTTAAATTAATATACTGATGTTATAGAGTCCTGTTTTCTCTAGATTGTACAAATGCAAGCAAGCATCCACCCAGTGCATATATGTGCACCAGGATTTATTTAAATGAATTTTTCAAATGAATGAATTCCTTTGCTTGGCCCAGCAAATGCATCATTCATGTAGAACTTTCTGCATACATGATCATAAAACAAAGGAATGAAAACTTGTTTTTTTCATTCTCCTTGGCATAGATTTCTCAGTCTAGAAATTGCAACTTCAGAGGAGTTACATACCTGGTAGAGATTTTGGAGTTTTGGAACTGTTCAGAGCTCATAGTCTCATAGAAGTGAGCTGACCATCAGAAAAAAATCTGGTATCTCATTTCCTTAGTATGACCAGTGCATAATGGAATAATTTCACAGTCTTTTCCTTGCACGAAACGATAAACAGAATTCATACTTGGTAGCTGGTATATTAACACAGCGTAGCTCTTTGTCTCTGAAGCTGTGCCAATATCATGAAGAATTGCTCATTTTCCTGGAAGTAGAATTTGTAACACTGTTAGGAATGGGGAAAAAAATAGGTGATGTCATCTTTTGGCTAATCTTAAGAAGTGACTTTCTGCTACTTAAACTCAGGCTGATACAATAGTTCTTACGTTGGACATGAGCTGCTTTGGATCATCTGTTCTGGTAGGAAGGTAGATGAGTTGGCTTGTCAGCTCCTGACAGTCACACTGCAGGTGTTGGCTATGATAGAGCCAAAGTACGTTGGTTTGGTGTCCAGGCAGAAATGCCACTTGACGTATCCAGGTCTCAAATAATTAGAATGCTTAGTTCTGATGTGGTGTCTGATGTTATCAGTGTGAGATCGCATTTTCACAATCTAATGAAAATTTGGGGAGCTGAAGCAACTACAATATGGAGTTCAGTAATTCCTTGTTTGTCACAAATTGGACTGCATGCTGCTGTTCCAAAAATAGTCTGACTTTATCTGCAGCAAGCCAGTTTTGTGATGGTTCTATATGCGATGCTTCAAACTTTTGTGTCTATAAGCTTGCTTTGTAATTAAATTAACAAATTTGTGCCTTTTTTTTTACCTTTGTCAGCGGAACAACTGGGTGCTTTTGCAGCTGGTGTCAAGCAGATGTTAGAAGATGTACAAGAGCGTCTTGTTTATAGGACACATATTTACATTCAGACTGATATCACAGGCTACAAGCCTGCTCCAGGCGATCTTGCGTATCCTGACAAGTTAGAAATGATGGAGGTATAGCATCAGCTTTTTTATTGTCCTTGCTTGGTTTTCTTTTTGTATGCAGTATATACAATTGTGCAATATAGTGCTTTGCAGATGGGGTTTTCCAGTTCTTAGGTGTATTTAGTATTATTGGCACTGTCAAATTGGCACCTGCTGATTAAATTATGACCCTAAACTAGATGTCAGAGAACACTTTATGTCAAACTCGGTAAAACTGGCAATAGTTCTCACCGTTACCAGTTTTATCTAAACTTGAAGGTTCTAAATTTTCTCTCATAACAGAAAATTTTCATTTATTTTCATAAGTAGTGGGTATTACCCAGTGTATTTTCTAGTTGAGCTGGAGCTGAAGAGAAGCTGTAGACAGGCACAGTTAGCAGCAAGTTTGTTTTCAGAATTACTGGTCAACTAGTGTTTGGTACACGTGTGTGTCTGCTATGCTCAGACAGTGTCAGGGGAGACTTGCTTGTACCTTTAGATAATTTAACATGTCAGCAATGGTTTCCAGTAGCCTTTTTCAAGTTCTTATCAATGTTAGCCATTTTTGTAGTCATTCCAAGCCCTTTGAGTCAATGTTCCTGTTGAAAGGAATCAAACTAATTCTACTTCCTTTAAAAGGTTAATACTGTATTGATGAAAGATTTCAGAATGAAACTACTTACAGAAATAAAAAAGTGGCTGACAAAAGACTTTTAAAAAAGTCAGGTTTTGACTAGAGCAAACTGCATTTGATGTGCAACTGAAAGGTAGCATTGCATGGAAGGGATTAAGCATAATAAAAATCCACCCCAAATAACTTGTTGACATTCACTTTATAATGAGAGGCCCAAGCTGTCAAAGAACAGAGTTGACTAAGAAGGGCAATTCTGACACAGACTGGCAAGATGCAGGTTTTATTACTCTATTCTGCTTTCCATCTATCTACTGGAGTAGCTAGTGGTGCTTAAAAAATTGTAGGACTTATTTGCAGCTGACCAGCTTGTAGAGAAGCTGTTGTTTGTCATCTGAATCAAAGCATTACTTAGATAAAATGCAGAAGCTTTATAACTATATATATAACTATATAACATATAACTATGTATTTTGCTGTGGGCTGGAAGAAATCAGCATTGTATAAGTGTACCTTACTGTGTTCAATTCTTGCCTGTAAACAGACAAACACTGAGAAACTTCTTAGTACTGAACTCATGTTGCTATAATCTTGTCTTTATACATGTCTAAAGCTTTTATTATGTTACATTTTATGCTTTGGTGATTATAAGGGACATTCATAGGTTTTTAGGAAAGCATTTACAAATCCTGAAGCTAGTGAGTATTTGTAGACTACTTGCTCTTTATACTGAGAGTTTAAGGACTAATAAGCTTTTGAAGAAAAAGCAAAAATAGTAATTGAGAAGCGCACCACACAAAACATAGCTAAATGGGATTCCTCCGTTAGAACAACTAATGATCAGAAGTTTTACCAGTATAACTGTTAGGAGTGCAGGTTGGTTTGGGTTTTTTTTGCTAAAATTGTGTGAACCGAACTGGATAAAAAATGATTGTGAGAACTTTTTAATGTTAGCTGTAACTTCTGTAGGCAAGCAGTGCAGATACTTAGTCTACACAAGGCCCTATTTTCTAACTAGGGTCCTATGACTGTTGAGTTACTTAGAAGAGGAGAGTTTTACAGTTCATTCTGAATCGAGGAATTATGCTGCTCTTCATATGTCCTTGTAAGACTCCAGTTTTTGCCTGGTTTGAGATTCATTTTGCTACTTGATTGCTTTAAACCTCAAAACCTTGCTATTTAGAGAGCCCTTCTGTCTAAGTAAATTAATTATTAAAATGTTAAAAGCACGGGGCAGAAATATTTCTTATGCTGTTCTGCTCAAATATTAATGCAGTTCTTTGCCCATTCTTACTGCCTCTCATTGCTCTGAAGCAGACGAAGTAGTGAAAAAGGTTGAAGTATAGAAGTGTTGAGTAATGTTAGGGGAAAGCTTTTTGTTGAACTCCTGCAGGGAATAAACTAGAGAGTACTTTGGGGCCATCTGCACATATAATTTGTAGGAATAAAGTCATCACAGAAATTGAACTCCTGCAGGGAATAAACTAGAGAGTGCTTTGGGGCCATCTGCACATATAATGTGTAGGAATAAAGTCATCACAGAAACTATCTGTATGAAATCCAAGTGAGTGTTGAATTGGGTTCCCCTATTTTGAGCTTCTCATTCTAGGTAGCTTCACTGGTTATTATTTAGAGATCAGTAAAAACAGGCAAAATGGAAAGAATGGTGCTTTACACAGATCTGTGTAATACTAGTAAATCTTAAATCGATATTAAAATGTTTCTGCTACTGTTTTGGAAACATCTATCTTTAATTAAATAGAATTAAATTCTTCGCTGCGAGGGTGGTGAGGCCCTGGCACAGGTTGCCCAGAGAAGCTGTGGATGCCCCCTCCCTGGAAGTGTTCAAGGCCAGGTTGAATGGGGCTTTGAGCAACCTGGTCTGGTGGAAGGTGTCCCTGCCCATGGCAGGGGGAGTGGAACCAGAGAATCTTTAAGGTCCCTTCCAACCCAGACCATTCTATGATTCTTTTAATATCTTTGAAACACTGGGGAACGGAGGGTAGCTGACTCCTTTTGCAATTTAGGATGTTTTTCTCTATTGTAATCAAAGCAGCGTAACGCTGCTTACGTTAAGGAGTAAAAAAATTAAAATTTTGTGCCATATCTTCCTCTGCAGCAAATTGCACAAAGTTTAAAAGAGGAACAGCAGAAGCTGCCATCTGAAGCTTCATTTTCTGATGTCCGGCTAGAAGATCCTGAGTCTTGCAGCTTAGTTAAATCTGGTATGAAATGTATCTCATGTTGTCAAATTAATGCATAAAGCTCACAGAGAGTGAGCATTAACTTGAACCATCACTGAGAAACTTGCATGTATCTTAAAGGGTTATTTTCCTAGAGAAATTCATGAGAGATTTTGAGAGGTGACCTTTGTCGCAGGGTTCTTAACAACTTTTTTTTTGAAGGAGACACAACCTAATCTTGTTCTTTTGGTGGTGTTTCTTTGTGCTTCCAGTGCAATGCATTTTGTGAAGCAACTGCTTTTGTAGCTGACAGCCTGTATTGTACTTTGTATAAAACTGAGCTTTTGTATTCTCTACTGTGAAGTAGCCCTACCATCAAGATGTATACTTAAGGACGCCTCTGTTTGTTAGCTGTGCTGAGAAGAGAAGGGTGGTTTGGTGTCAGGCATGTCTCTTGAATGAATGCTTTGAGCTTCTAGGAGTGTCTTTGTGTGTGCCTTTACCTGGGGAGGTGACTTCTTCCTTTGAATGCATTTCCGCTTACTGAAACCAGTTAGTAATTTTAGCTGTTTGCAATAATTCAGAATATATTCCTTGACTTTTAAAATACGTGACCCACGTGCCTGTAAATTACAGTGAACTAGAAGCAAATTCCTTGAAATGTGGCTCTTTCGGTGCCAGTCATTTGAGTGTTACAACTCTTTAAGTTTTTGTCTAAGATCCATGAAGAATTTCTCCCTTTATCATTGTTCAGAATGGTACAGTGTTGTTTTTCCCAGCAGCACCTTTCTCAGCTCTTTGTCAGTTGATTCTCATATTCCTTTTGATTATGCGATAGTTTCTTGCTTTTGACTTACAAAACCTGCAAAGGTCTTTCTGGCTCTTTGTAGCTGGACTCCACAAATCCCATTGAGAGTGGAGTTCGTCTTGCTTCAAGCCAGTTGTGTGGCATTCGCAAGTCCTGTAAACCCCACCTGCATTCAGGAGACAGAAGGAACCTATATGGTGTAATTTGAAGATAAGTGTCTGAGATAATTGGGATTACTTGCCCTTCAAAGGTGCCTCTCTCCCATTTCAGTGCCCGCAGGAGTAGCTGAAGTAACTAATAATAGCCTAGGAACCTCAAACTGACAACTAAGGTTTTACAGGCCTTCTGATTACTGTGACAATACACTTATTGTTGCTAAAGCTAGAAAGGTATTGCTGAATTATTTTGGACGATTCCTACACTGGTCACAGATAAAAACTTCACAGGTGCTTATTCCACCATTAGGTAAAACTTCAAAAATTTTACTTTTTTGAATGATTGCTAATTGGAATCAGAGTTCTAATGCTATTGACTCAGCTGTTTTCCAGGATTTAAGGACAAAATGAAAATAATACAAGACTTCTGTCTGTCAGATGTGGTGAAAATCCATTTTGACCATACAGAATTATTACAAAGGTTACACAGGAGGAGCGCTTTTTTATGTTTACAACCCCCTCAAGACAAAATTGGTTTTGCCATTATTTTTGTGGTTATTAACATGATGTTTAAACCCTACACTTTGTACGACTGTTTAATCCATGTGGGATTATTTCCAGAAGAAAGGAAAGCAAGAAGAAGTAAAATTGAGGGAGTGTTGTTTTTTTTTTCTTTTTCTGAGCATCTCCTGTAGTTCCATGATCACTAACCATTTTTTTTTCTTTTTTATCCTCTGCTTTTTTTTTTCCTAGTAATTGTTTGATCTTTTCAGCTGTTAAGCTAAGTGAGGGAGGGATGTGTCACTGGAGACATGCCTGTAAAACAAACTCATTAAAAAAGGTCGAACTGGGCCATCCTTGAAAGCAAATTCATGTCTTTCACAGCCCTGTGCTCTATACACATCAGAAATCTAGTACTGACCTGCTCAGAAGGAGGAAAAAAAAAAACAACGAACCTGTTTGGGTGCAATAAAATATGTCTTATTGCTGTGGAGTCAGTATAAAGTGCAGTCCATGTTACATCTCCTTCAGTTGAAAGGACAAATGGGCAAGTTTTTCATGTGTCTGTTTTACTTTCAAACAGGTTCATCAGAATCCCTTCATCCCAGACACCAGACCACGATTTCACCAGCAGATCTGCATGGAATGTGGTATCCTACTGTCAGAAGGACTCTAGTGTGTCTCTCCAAACTGTACAGATGTATAGATGTATGCAAAAATTTCTTTAATTTTTTTAAGTGAAGTTACGAGGTGTGTAGTACCATGTCTAAATAATTTTAATGTAAATTAGGAATGGACAATTGCTGACCTCTGTTCTCTCTTAGTCTTTTTGCTGCTATCTTTATGTAAAACAAGTGAACTGACAAATTTAGGTCGTCATTTCCAAGACAATTTCGTATTTTTAGAATTAGAAAAAAGGCACTGGTTTGTACATCTGTTGCTTTTGCTATTACAGAAATATTTCAGTGACTGATGCTCAAGATAGTTATCGTTCCAAAGTTGAGGACTGAATAGGACAAGAAAGAATAGAAAGTTCTGGGTCGATTATAGAGAATGATCTTAGTGCTGAAATGAAATTACTGGGTGAATATGTTTCTTGCTATGTGCTTTGCAGGACATCAGACAGGGTGATGTTTCTGGTCTTAAAAATGGTGACTCTACTACTTCCACGTTTTGGAAATGTTCTCAAAAATTTTTTGTGGCACGTCTTTTCACCTTCCAAAATGTAGGAGTTGTTTCCAAAGTTTAAGACAGTAGGAATCTTCATGTCTAACAGAAACAAAAGTGGTGTTTACTTTACAAGTATTTTGAGACTTGCCCTTTAGAATCTGATTTATATTTGTCATCTAATAGCATAAAAGGCTATTGAGTCTATGAGAAACATAATGCCAGTGTTTTTACTTTTCTGTACATGTTGTGTCTTTGTTAGATACATTTAATGCATTTCAAAATATCTTTGATAAGTGTATGTGAAACTGCTACCAAGATGCTATTTGCTTAAAAAGAAACTGGAAAATATTAATACTTTAATGTATCAGTCTCATTAAAGATAAATGAGTATTTGCCCTTGTTTTCAGCTGGACCTTTGGAGATGAGGTCGTTTTTGCGTTGTTTGCAAGACTCATTTATAGTGTGTCTGCACAGTGATTTGTTTATTTTTTCACTGAGATATTCTAGCAGAACTGGTATGCCTTGCCTGCACCCTCTAGGTAGGAGAAGACATGAAAGAAGTGGCCCTGGCAAGTCTTGGGGCGGTCAGGGCTGTTATGTACTCTGTTGGAATGCTGGTGGAGGCGAGCTGTGTTCCTAGGGCTAGCTCAGCGGTATGATCTAGTTGCTTAGTGAGTTACTCCGTGTAACCTGGGCCATGGCAGCTGTCATGTTTGTTTACTAACCTGGTGCAAACGTGAGGTAATTTGAGTTTGCTTGAGGTTAAGCTCACTCGAATGATCTCACGTCTATTGCAAGTATAAATTGCACACACAGGTAGTTACCCTGACACATGAAGTGTCTGGTCAGGTTACCCAGGTAAGTATCATTCGTGCCGTTAGCGGTGAATGCATTATGTGTCACTGACCATGTCACTACCTGGATGCAAATTCAGAGGCAGAGGGTGAACAGGGAATGCCTGAGTGTATACGTGTATCCAGTCTGTCCAAGTGCTGTAGCGAGCTTTTATGTATCAATGCTCCATCCAGTCTTACTGCATTTAGACAACATGTTTGTAGCTAGCTAATGTAGCGTTTTCTGTGCTGGTAAGCACATCCTTCGCAAACTGCAACTCTTAAATTCTGCTTAAGCTTTGCTGACACCTTTTTTTTTGGTCTGATTTCATCTTCCCCGCAGAGGGCAGTGTTCCAGGGGTTATCGCAAGAGGCCTTATCTGCCTGCATCCACTCGCTGCTGGGAGCTGCTGATTCTATCAGCAAAACCAAGGTCAGAATCTGTGCTTTGGGTATGATTTCTTTCCCCCCGCTCTGTGTATATCTAAAGCCATGAAGCAGTTGTTCAGAATTCTGTTGAAATCTCAGTGAAAGCATGTTGCTCTGCCCCTAGAGACCCGATGGATTTGCCAGTTTTTAGTTACGGTTAATGTATTGTAAAGCAAAGATAATGATTCATGTGCTAGCCTATCGGAAACTGTGTGATACGAATCCTAGCAGTCATGTTTACAGGCTGCTCTAACTCATGTGAATTCAATCTAGTGATACCTAAAGAAAAATTTCTCCTAGAAATTTCTGGTCTTTACATTTGTTTTCACTGCCTGTTACTCTTTTCTCTTTTTCTCTGCCTCCATTGTTTGAATTTTCAAAAATCTTTCTAAGTATTAAATTTCACTGGGAAGATTTCTGAAGTATTCTGTGCTCAGAACTGTGTATTATCTAAAGGTTTGTTCTGATATCATGCCCAGAATTCAATGCAGTTTCATCAAGTTATTTTAAGTGTTACTTAAATTTACTTAAGTAGTTGGACTATACCTTCGTTTTTCCTGTCACAGTTCCTTTAATGCAAATACTGTAGTAACTTGCTAATTCCTAATGGCCAGGAAGTGAATTTTAAAAAAAACCAAAACAGTAAATGTTTAGTAATGAAAAAAGTTTTAGTTGCTCTTAGAAATGCAGAGCTCTTTTGAAGTATTTTCCTTGTGTCCTTTGAAAAATATCCCTTAAATGTAATATCTTTAAAAATAAATTCAAACTGCATTTCCTTCTAGCTTGAGCAGAGAACTATTTTATATGTAATTGATTCAGAATTCTACAGTTAATTATGCATTCCAGCACTGTATATCGGGTCAGCATTGACTTGAAGTATTGCAGAGAATGGAACTCATACTGCGGTGAACCCTTGATGATCTTTGAGGTCTCTTCCAACCATAATGATTCTGTGATAGGTTGGCCCAGGACTAGGATCTGTACCACTTTGTTCTTGATGTATATTAATTTAACATTATCTGGTGAAATTGTGCATGTAAAAATAAAAAAAAAAACCCTGAAGAAACCCTTCTACCGCTTGCTGTTAGTAAACATTTCTATTTGTTAAAACTGCAGATTCAAATCTAATTTATTCTTTACTGTTTTATTTAATATTATATCAAGGAAAGTTCTCTTCCAGCAAGAGCAAATTTGATTTCTTGAGCCTTCCTCCATTTACCTCAATGACCCATGAACTTCAAAGATTAAAACAGCATGCAGTATAAAGCACATATCTAAAATAACATACAGTGCAAAACTGATCGTCTCGGTGATGTGAACTTGGCCTTGTTTTATTCTTTGTATCTTTGCTGTACTATTTAGAAATTAACTAAGCTTTGTGTTTAATGACATGAGAAAAATGCCTCATAAGTCCTTTGCACAGTAGCACAGTTAATCAAGGTTATTACAGAAACATTAACTGTTTGGCTTTTTAAAATTATCATAATTATTAAAAAAATTTTAGAACCTCATGATTTTCAACTGTAATTTATAGGAATTACGTTAAATAATTCCTGGCTCTTATGAAGAATAAGCTTGTGTCTTTCAAATAATGGATATCTGTACTTAATGTGGACATTTAGTAATATGACTGTGTAATCTAATTCTTCTAAGAAATGTGAATATTGTTTGCTTCTGTAGAGTAATGTGTTAGGAACAGTACAGAAGTGGGATTTGTTGATCCCAAAGCATAGTTAATGGCACTACAGACTAATGGAAGAAGCTTCTTAGTAATACTTAATAAGTATTAGTAATACTTATTACTAATAATACTAAGATTATTAGTACTAATTTTATTATAGGAAGTAACTAATAGAAGTGGAGATGTTGAAACTTTGTTCTTCATTTAATTGTTTTGGTTTGTTGTGGTTTTTTTTTTTTACATGTGATGCATTTCTTTCTCTTGTTGTGCTGTAGACCCAGGTTGATGGACAGCTTTTCTTAATAAAACACCTTTTGATTCTTCGTGAACAAATTGCTCCTTTCCACACTGATTTCACCATTAAGGAAATTTCCCTGGACCTTAAGAAAACTAGAGGTACTAAACAGTTGCTGGCTACAGAATGGGATGGGATTGTCCTCCCTTAATGTGCCAGCAAAAGTTCTGGGTTTATTTTATGTTCACTTGCAATAACCTGTATGCTTGTTCTAATCTCTTGCTTTGTTCTTATCTTCTCTGAAAAAAACCCAAAGCCATTCTCTTATTCAGGGCCATTCAAAATGTATCTAACAAATTATTTATTTTTGTATGAAATGCATTTGACTGCTTTTTGCTGCTGACCTAACTTATTTATCCAGTCCTTTTTAAGAACAGCTAAATGATCTACATTTTTGTTGCACAGAGATGTATTTCCCCTTTTCTGACCCTTCAAAGGAATATTGTTTGTTACTGCTGTTTATCAGGCGAATTTAACAATACATAATTGACTTGCCTAGAACAAATTAAGATTTCCTAGACCTTTCTATGAGGTTTTGCTTTGGAAAGGATTTCTTATATTGCAAGTTCAGTAAGCAGTATTGTTGAATAGTTTTATGTAGCAACTGTGTCTGTTGTAGGAAGGGAAAATAGAGAGTAGTAGCCATGGTCATGATTTTTAAAAATGTACTATGGTTCCATTGTAAAATGCAGGAAAAAACCTCTCAGTACAAAAGTGAACCGTCATGCACTTGTCAAGTTTATAAAGATAGTGGGAAAAATAATTGGAAGCATGTCAAGTTTTGTCTTCTTCCATTCCAGAGGAGAAAGCTGAAGAAGTAACTTTGCTTTCCTGCCTTCTAATATACTGCTGTTTTAACTCTGAAGCAAGCAATTCTTACACTAACCATTTCACCTGTTGCATTTGAACATCAATGAAACCTCCTACCTGTTGAGTAGTTTCTAGTTGACTGGAGGTTGAAGGGCAAATACGTCCTTTTGGTGTATTGTCCTGGCTGACACTCAAGTTTGTTCTCCATCTTCATTTAGTTGAATAAATTTTTGTGCCAGCCAGTGCTTTGCAGATGATAGTGGTAAGTAATGGAGAACACTTTCTTTATACTAGGTGGTGATGATGAAGTTGAAAAGATGTACATTGTGCTTAATTCTTATGGTAGTCTAGCATAGGCCAGTAGGGCTTTTATATTTGGGATGAGTTGTACAAGGAAAAGAACGTGGCTAATGGGAGTTTTACTGTGTTCTAGCCAAGCTTTCTGCACATGGATTTAAGATTTAATTTGGGATTTATAGACAAAGGGACACTGTTTAATGTAAAAGTCATGCTTCCACCCATTTTTTTTTAAAGTAGTATAATGCTAAGGTTCATGTAACTGAAATATACAGTGGGGAGAACTGACTTTCACACTGACTAGCTCATAGGCTTCTAATCAAGAACTTAGACTCTCTTTGGAATCAGTGAAATTTCTGGGAAATAATTCTGAGAACATAATCTTTCTCTGCAGTCCCCTTTGACTGCATAGGAGTGTAGATTCTTAATTTGGTGCAAAATCTACATACCTACGTGTCTGGTATTCCCTCTTTGTTTAATGCCTTTGACAGCACTTCTTTAACTCTTATGTATTGTTTCTCTCCCATTGTTTTGTACAGCAAGAGGGGTGGAGAATTGCTTTTGAAATTAAAAAAAAAAGCATAGATGAATGTGTAGGATGATAAATGAATGACATTAGGGCAATAAGCCATACTGAAACCATATTGATAATTTTCTTTTTCCTAATTTGACTAGATGTCAAGTTGATGACATCCTGTTTACACTGTAGGAATAATTTCCATATCTTGTGTTAATTACAGACATTGTTGCTTTCCCTTCTTGGGACTTCTGTAGAGACCAGAAACATGAGTGTCTATCAACCTTGATGTTTTGTTGTTTAGTCCTAACTAAAATAATTAAGCACAGAGGAAAAGAATGCCAGTTCTAAGTTATTTCATGCAACTGTACTTGATTTTCTCAAGGAACATGGGCCACATTCTGCATATTGTTCATAAATGCTTAACTACATAGCTTATGTACAAGTCTTTCACTTGTAGGTATAGTTAGAAAAGGAAAAGAGCTTACACAATTTGCATGCTGATAGCACTACAGCTACTATCAGTCATTTGTCAGGTTCGTGTAATGTATTTATCTGTTTAGGCCGTGCAACTGTTAGATTCAGGTTTACCATAGGTGCAATTAAAAATAGTGGATGAAGCTTTGTGTGCTTCTGTGCATGTGCACTTGTGCATCCACACCTAGCAGCAGTGGAATCATTAATTTTATAGTCCTAATCATGCTAGGCCATTTTTTATGTGTAAATGAGTGATTAAAGTTTTTGATTCCTGGAACTGAATCCCATTGACTTACAGCCTGAGTGACTTTCTGATTCACAGATGCAGCATTTAAAATCCTGAACCCTAAGACAGTTTCAAGATTTTTTAGACTAAACAGCAACAACGCCTTGATACAGTTCTTACTGGAGGTAATATGGAGTCTTACAGCATTAAGAAAAATTGGGTCATTTAAGCGGGTGGTGATCCCTGGCAAATAAAAAGGAGAGAATTGTTGTCTTCTGTTCAAGGGCACTCCAGAAATCAGAGAACATTATATCGACTCTAAGAAAGATGTAGATCGTCATCTGAAATCAGCTTGTGAGCAGTTTATTCAGCAGCAAACCAAACAGTTTATAGAACAGCTGGAGGAGTTCATGACAAAGGTACAAAGATACTGTATGTTCGTTAACCTAACTGAAATACCAGTAAGACAAAGGAATTAGTATTTAAATTGGGTGTAGGAGAAGCTGCTAGTTCTGTGTGATGGCATTTCCCGTTATAAGGTCATGCTTCCCTTTAAGTCCCAACAACAATTTTCCAGGCATTTTTGAGATTAATGGATTAAAGAAACATGATGTGGCTTGATTTTAAAAGCAACGCTTATGCATTTTGATGAAGAAGCTTTAATGTTTCATTGAGTTGAAATAGGTCTGTGAAAGTTGGCAGGATCTTTTCTCTTTGCAGGAAAACTCCTACTTTGATTGAATTTGAAGCCTTCAAAAACAATCTCGGGTCATTCATGTTCTTGAGGGAGGTCTTAGAGTATGGCTGTGAAATATGTTAAAATTTTCTGTTCTCAGCATATTTTATACCAGTGAAAGACTTTTCTCCCTAGTCCTGTTTTTGACAGAAATTCCTAATAAAAGTTGGTCAGAAAGATTAGGCATCCTTGGGGACAGGAACAAAAAGATGTCTTGTTACAATACACTTTTTTCTAGAACCTGCTCTAGAGCTCAGGATTTCTACACATCTCAAGAAAAACACACAGCAGGATCTGTTACTCTTGGAAAATGAAAAGTGTGATGTGGATCCTTATGTACCAAGAATAAGTGGCACGATATCTCAGAAACTGGGGCTGCAGCATTGCATGGACATCACAAATATCCCAGCTGCTGAGATTTGAGAATTTAGAAGATTACAGTATTAAATTTACTGATGCCTGTCATGCTGAAGTGAGGGGCCAGTGGCATGTCTAAAATATAGATGAGTAACCAGTGAGGTTGATAGATTGTCCAAGTAATCCCAAGGATTCATTGGAAATTTGGGGAATTTGACTAACCTGCTTAAGTAATAAATGTCTTTTGAGGTTTTGTATTCTTAGATGCCTAAGTGTCTTTGTAAATTTAATCCCATTTTGAGTTTTACTTTCAAGAAGTGATCATGGTTGTAATTTTGAATTGCATTTCTGTGAAGCTGCTTCCCCTGTGTTGTTAAGTCGAGGCATAGAAGAGAGAGAGCAAGGGAGATTCTGTACACTGCAGTATCTAAGAGACTTGTGCAATTGTTACGTGGTCGCTTTGTTGTGAATTCAACTGAAAGAAACATAATTGTGTTGATTGTACTTGTTTTAGGTAGCTGCTTTAAAAACAATGGCCACTCAAGGAGGTCCCAAGTACAGCCTTTCGCAGCAACCTTGGGCACAACCAGGTATTTGCTTTGTTTTATATTCACATTACCTCTGAGGTGCTTGTAGGCTAATAAAGCCATGATCATGTACTACTTTGAGACTCCTTATGAAAATTTCTCATCAAATGGAGAAAAAGACCCTTTCCGTTCACTGTTTTTGGTAGAGCAGTATGAGCTGGATTATCTGGGGCTCGAGTGTTTCAGAATGTCATTTGTCTCTGTGCCTGACTTCTAAATGATAGGAATATGAAAAACTGACTAGATTAATTTGAACTGTGAGACTGTGATTGATTTGGAAAAATTCTAAGTACCCAAGAACTGTCTACCTTTTTCTTGAAAATCCTGGCTTCCATTTTTCCCTGTGTGCTAGTTTAAATGTCTTAAGATACCTCTGAATCAAAACCTGACAAACTTCAGAATATGTATTTAATTGGTCCAGTAGATGAATGACTTGACTATTTCTCAAGCTGTGACTGTTCTTGCATGAAAACAGAATTTCTGCAACTGTATACGGAATGCGCTTAAGGAATTATTTGATTACATTAAGATAAAACTTTTGCTTTTGTAGGAAAAAATGAATCTACATTGAAGCTTTTATTGTCTGTATGTTTGGTACCTACTTCCTTTTCAGTTTTCCTGTCACTGTGCAAAAATGGAATCCAGCTTTGTTTCCCTCTTCTTAAGAATTCAGATATGAATGTGTCGTAGGAACATTTGGAGTAGTTTAGATGTTCCTGGGTGTTCTGCTCTTCACATTACAAAGTTGTGCTTCTGGGTGACACTGAGAAATTTGATTATTCCAATTCATACATTGGAACCTTCTATTGCATCATGTTCTTAAAATGCAAAGCCAGCCACGTTCATTCATAATTCTGTGCTGCTAATGGGTCAGACACTTTTTAAGGGCTAACTCAAGCTTCTACTTAACATCATCTGCTTCTTCAGGAGTATTTTTAATATTTGTTTGGAGATAATTACGTGTGTAGAGGCAGATCTAAGCAGAACTTCTGCTGTTTATTGGAGTAATCTGTCTGGCAAGCAGGAGTAGGCAGAAAATTTAGATACAGTAGAAGTTGAGGAAAAAAACCACAACATAGTAGGTTAACTTTGGTACTTTAAAGCTATGAAATGTATTTTTCCCTGCCCTTGAAGCAGAGATCTTGTAAAATCCTTAAAATACCTAGCAATAAAGAAAGGAGGTCTTGTCTGCGGGAGGATTCCTGTCTGATTGATTCAAAACTCAGATGACTGTGCAGCCTTTCTTCTTACAGACGTGGCCTGTGGTCAGTAAGGAGAATTTGTGATATGCTGTTCTCTTTACTAGCACTGTTTATTCCCAGTAGTTTCTTTTCCAGGCAAGTTTTCTAGGGGGGAGCCTGTGTGGAACTTTGCTGCCATTGCAAGGCTGTGACTTTAGGAACCTCAGGAGCATGTGGTAGCTTGCAGAAATGGATTGGATGCATTTTCTGCAGGGAAAGAAAGGCTGAGGTCTTGAGTAGGTCCCAAAAGAAAAACCTTGTCTGTTGTGTTGTGGTTGTATGATGAGTTGATGTGGCACAGCCCAGTC